CCCCCCCCACCCCCACCCCGGGTCCCAACTTCTCTCATAAAATATATCTCCCGCGCTCTCCCCCGCGAGGGGGGGTGGGGATACATTTCTGAGTGTGGGGGGGGCGCGCCCCCCACCCCCGGGGGGGGAGTCTATAAGAGCATAGGCAACACACTGCTACTTCATCTTTAATTTTCTTCTTTACTGCAAAATATTGTATTATAATTTGCTTGTGAATTGTGATGGTAAGTAAATGGTTTTTATATATATATATATATATATATATATATATATATATATATATATATATATATATATATATATATATATATATATATATATGTGTGTGTGTGTGTGTGTGAACATATTGCAAAAACTATCCCTGTGATTTCCTAATTAGAATACTACTCCTGTAAAAAAAATGTGACCAATTCCCCTCTTTGTTATCAATGTCAAAGCATTTGGACTCCTCAAGGTAAATCTTGTATCTCACGCGCACTTTGTGCGAATATTTATTTATTTTCACTTGTGAAATGTCATAAATGTCCAGCCCAATCATATTTATTTCATACGCATTCTACATCTCCGCTTTTCCATAATCTCCCCCTTTTCTTTTCTTTCTATACCCTAATTTCAGTTGTTCAATTTCAACCTTCAATTGGTGTGTGATCTTGTCTCGAGTTGCATTGAAATTCCGATAATGTCATCATATTCGTCTAGCAACACGGCGAGGAGAAGTAATTCCCCCGTTGATGGATTTGAGGTATGGGATTACTCCTCTATGTTTATGCAAATGAAAGAAATAATAAAAGTGGTGAGTCATCAATGAAACCATCAAAGGGTAAGTTGTACTACTCATGTGAACATCGATGCTTCAATTTTTTTCGTTGGTGTGAACCAACTGGAGCAACTTGGGAGCCGATGGGGGTTTCTGTACAATTTCCGAACTGGCAAGCCTTCTGCAGAAGGTTTTTCGGATGAAGTAGACGAGCCACATGAAGTAATGTCTAAAGTGTTGAAGGAAGAAAAGGAGATGCAATTTTGCATATTTCCTGGGTTATTAGTTTAAAATTGTTTATTATGGTCGTTCTTTTGTTATTGAAGCTGTAAAAAAAATCCTCTTTAGCTGTTTTTGTTTCAATTATGATTGTAATGAATGAAGCTTTGATGTTGGAATGAAATTTTTTTGTTTAGCATTTTTTTTTTGGTAATGGCAAATAAGCCCATGACAAGGGCACTTAATTAAAAGAGGGACATCAAACTTTTTTGTCTTTCAAATAAATCCACCCCATTCAAACTTATTTGCAAATAAGGAAAATCCTTTTATATATACCAAAATTACCCCCAATTCATTGAAACCCAATTCAACTCCAATTTCATGATTTACACCCCAATTTAGCCCAATTTCATCAATTAACCAATTTTAACCCTAATATCAATTTTGACCCCAATTTTAATCATAATTCTTATCAATTCCACCCATTATGCTCTAATTTCCTTAATATTACACATTGACCCCGGATTTTAACAAATATATCACATTAACCCCCCAAAATTTTTTTTTTTCAGAAAATATTTTTTTTTCTGAAATGTTTTTTTTTCCGGCCAGATTCCGGCGTTGACTTTTTTTTTTTTTTTTAGAATTTTGGTTTTTCTTAAATTTTTTTTTAATTAATATTACTGTCTTGGCTGCTAAATTACTGTCTCCGGCACTTATTTAACTGCCGGAGACAGTAATTTAGCTGTTAATTGACTTTTTTTTTCTTCAAAAATATTTTAATTAATATTACTGTATTCGTTGCTAAATTACTGTCTCCAGCAGTTATTTAATTGTTGGAGACATTGATTTAAATGTTAATTGACTTTTTTATTCTTAAAAAATATTTTTAATTAATATTACTGTATTTGTTTGCTAAATTACTGTCTCCAGCAGTTATTTAACTGTCGGAGACAGTAATTTAACTGTTAATTGATTTTTTTCATTTTTTTTCTTAAAAAAATATATTTTAATTAATAGTACTGCCTTAGATGCTAAATTACTGTCTCCAGCAGTTATTTAACTGTCGAA